CAATGGCTCATGTTCTGCAGTGCTTTGGGCATCCCCTAATATTAGCTTGTCTACAGAATGTGTGTAATGAGTTTGTGGACGTCAAAATATCATGGAGCTGCAGGCTAGAGAAATATATTGTTCTCAATCCCAGATGAGCACAGAAAGGTTCGGGAACAAAAGTGCTCCATGAGTTTGAAAGTATAAGTGAGTTAAGCCTCTCCATTCACCAGCTAGTCTCCATGTGCATCACCATGCCTGGGGCTGCTCAGTTTTGAGCATAAGGATGTAGCAGTGAGCAGAACAGATATCATTTTTGATCCCAGGAGCTCTGGTGAAGACTGTGAGGTAATTAAAGAGAAATTAAGCAAATTAAGGAATACATGAATTGTGGAGAATGCTCAAATGATGCAGAACAAGGGATGTGTTGGAGACAGTGGGTTTAGAGAGCGTGGCTAGGAAAGACCTTCAAAGGCCATGTGAAGAGACCTAGAGCAGCAATGCAGAGGGCCAGAGCTGGAGAGTGAGCTTGGCCCCAGTGACTGGGTGGCAATGGCCTGGTGATCTGAGATGGCAGATGTCAGACCATCTGGGGGTTGGGAGGGGAAGGAATTTCCTTGGATTTCATGCCAATTGCAAGGGAAAGGTATTGAAGGGTTCCATGAAGAGGACTGATATGATCCCATTTACCCATGGGGGATACACACACAGACAGCATCATCTGGCTGCCAGACAGAGAAAAGAGAGGGAGACTAATCATACAAGAAAAAGATGGTGGTAGGTTGGACAGGGTGGATGGCATGAGAAAGAAGATAGGCCCGGACATATTTTGGGAGACCCAACAAGATTTGGCAACACACTGGATTTAGGGAAGAGAAAATAGGATGAGGATAGCTTCTAAGTTTTGATTTAAGAAATGGTGTTGGCGGTAGGGACATTCCCAGAAATGTGAAAGCTCAGGGAAAGGAAGTCAGGCTGACTCTAAAACTAGGTGTTGGTATGTAATTAACTTGTTTTTTTCCTTTTAAAACCTTAGTAAAGATAATAAAAAACTAAACCCTAAAAGGCATTGTGTAGGTTTTCCAAAATCCCTTTAGTGCCCARATACTTTGCTACCATGTAAGTGACAAACTTAAAAATAGTGGATTTGGTGATAGGATTGCTAAGAATAGAACTATATGTCCCTGTTTCTCTACTTCTTCAACTGTTTCAGGGAGATGTATTTGTAAGATAAAAATTTCGTGGTCTCAAACTATAAACGGCCATATTGAGATGCCCATAGGGGTCCCCAAATTCTCCATCACAGTTTTTCCACTGACCTCCAGCCTTCCCCTGTGTCCCTACCAAGGAAGATCACCTGCTGAGGCAAGAGCCATGGCGGTTTTTATTTGGACCAAAGGTGTTACTCCTGGGCAAGGAGCTCTCCGCAGATCTGAGCAGGGGAAAGACGCCCTCAGCCATCCAGACTACTGGCCAAAAGAGAGACTTTCCTTCCCAACACACATTCCTCTSCACTCTTCCCCATGCTCCATGCTCGCTCTGAGGTCTCCCCAAGTTAAAGAACGGTTTTCTCCAAAGGCCGAAGAAAACCTGCCGACGCCCTGATGTTTCCTACTTTTGTCTCTTGCCTTGCCTCCCTCCCACCCGCGCCCTATCCCGCGCGGAGTTGCGGGGTTCCCTGCCTGGGCCCCGCACACTCCCTAACCTGCCCGCTGGTTGGAGTCTGGGCGCGGCCGGAGGCTGCGGGGCTGTGAGGCAGGGGTCGCCCCGCGCTCTCCAGGCCCCTCGAGCTGTGGTCCTTGCCCCCTGGGTAAAGGCTACCCATGCCCAAGCATGCGGCCGCCTGGAGCGCGGGCCTGGGTCACAGGGCACGCGGACGGGTGGGCAGGCGGAGGCCAGGGCTGCACGCGGATCCAGGGCGCGGGCCGGGTCGGTGGGGGCGCAGGGTTCTCGGGCCCGCTGCAGGAGGCGGTCAGGCCCCCACCGCGGCAGGGTGCGGGTCGGAGGAGCACTTACCTGCGGCGACGGGGCAGGGGCACGGACGCTATGGGACTGCGAGGCCGGACCGCGCGATCGGACACCAGCGGGCGGGCGGGGGCCTGGCGGTCCCACCGCCCTCTGCCCACCGCGACTCGGGCCGAGCGCGCCAGGGCCGGGCCGGGCCCAGACGCACTTCCTCAATCCTGCGGCCGGCGGGCGGGCGGGGAGGGCGGGAAGCGGGCGGCGCAAAGAGCGCGCAGGGCAAGGCCGCGGCACTCGAGGGTCGAGGGTCGGCAGCTGATGACCTTCTCCAGAATGGGCAAGAGGAGTCCCCTCAGTGGCCCGCCGCACTTTTCCTAGCTGTAAGGAGTAGGTGATTTAGTTCACTGCTTGCCCCTGTAAGACGCCAGGACCGCAGGGCTCTTGCAGGGCCAGGTCCTCTTCGGGTTTGGTTTCCCTGCTCTCTCTCCTAGGGTCAGGCACAGTTATAAGATTTGCCGGGTTTTTTTTTGCTCAGCACAACTTTCACACTGCACTCTAGGAGCAGCTTGGCAGGTTAATTCAAACTTGTATGTTGGCCATCTATTCTGATTGTAAATATTTAAAAAAAGACAGTGAATATTCATTTCTGTGGATCCGTAAGAGAACAATATAGAAGTATTTTTAAAACGTTAATATTTTGTAAAGTGCCCTTGTTTTGCTAATTTAATTACAGGTGTATGCAAAGATGTAGCTGTTTTGTGAATCTTTTAATTTTTAAATTTAGTTTTATTTATTTATTTTTTGAGTGAGGGTTCTCACTGTTGGCCAGACTGGTCTTGAATTTGTGTGCTCAAGCCATACTCCTGCTTCCACCTCTCAAGTASCTGGGAGTAAAAGCGTGAGCCACCACACCTGATTGGCAAATCATTTTAATGATCTGCTTGGGGCGAGTGGCGGAGGCAAATAAAACGTGGTGGAATAATGGCAGTTCATCAGRATTGGACCTGTCATAAGGGTCTTCATCAAACCGTTGGGGCAAATGACCAAAAGCAAAGCTAAACACTGAAGCCCATGTTGCAGGTAGGATTCAGATTCGACTTCACTGTCCATCCAGAAAAGAATTCTGCTCAGAAAAAGCAGAGGGTTCTACAACCTGGCAGGACCAGTACCTTAGACTATTATGTAATGTCTCTCCTCAAATATTCCCAGGACTTTGCACAAAGCAGAGACAAATTGCAAAAAGCCCTCACTGCCATTTCACAGAATCCGGGTCCCAGTACGACCTCAAGGACACCCCAGGCTGCTGTTACTTGGTGTCACTCCTAGATTTGGAGTCTAGTTGGCAAGGGGACCACCTGGCAGCTCTGCTCTGCTCCCAAGAAGCTTCCTCTCAGCCTGTCCAGTAACAAAACGCCCTTCCAAAAGGGTGGGCACAATTTTGCAATCCCGTTCTCACCACTGAGGTCCTCTTACCAGTTTGCAAGAGAAGCAGTATGATTGCTACCGAAAAGTCCCCAGTAATTTGCCGGGCGGGGCAGCCACAGTGTTGCGTGAGCCCCCACGACCGCCTAGTGGCGCCTCCAGGGCGCACCGCATCACCATCTACCGCCACCGGGAGGAAGTGCACGTCCAGGGCCTGGGCTGACACAAGGGGAAGTGTGGCCAATGCAGATAGGGACAATTTAAATTCYCTTTTAAAAGAGTTTGGGACTAGGCTAGTAACTGTGCCTAGTGTAGAAAAACATCTGGTATATTCGACAGGAGGATGACATGTTTGGAGTAAAATGATCAGCATTTAACTCTATCCATTAGGTATGCAATGTAACTAGTTTGTATAGGAAATTTGGTACCAGGCAGTTAATTTCTTTCCACTTTTTRACATTTGCTGATCCATGGACTTTCCTTTTGCTCAAATTCCACCCAGAGTTTCAGCATCTTCTAGTTGGAATGACCCCTTTTACATCACCTGGAAGCCACCTACTTCCCTGAACTAACATTCTGCCTTTTGAAGGTACAGTAACTACCTGTTCTTTCTATGTCTTCTAACTATTTTTCTTCAATTGGATGCTCAGCTTCCTCAGACATTCCTCATTGAACAATTTTAAAACACCTCTCATTATCTTGAGGCACTCCACATGGCTTGGGGCCATGGGAAAAAGACTCTAGAAAGTCTCCATCCACTAACAGGAGAACCTATGGCACTCCAAAGTGTCCACTTTAAGAGAATATACCCACGCCCACTGGCACACAAGCACACATTTATAACACATGTGTGGTACGCATGCTCATGCACACACACTCTACATCCTTCCTGAATGGTTCCCTTCAGGARGATATATACCGGTAAACCAAATGAAGGGAAATGTCATTTTTTATAATTTTCTGCTTACACTTGGATTGAGAAATGRCTTGTTGCTAAATACATAGATAAATGCACACTGAGAGAGATTTGATCCAACCTCCTTTAAGGTGTTTCTCAAAGGAGTGGTGCTTTGCAACTATGTGCTCAGTGACCTGGGCTCTAAACATTAAATGTATGGGTTGAGCTTGGTGGTCCTACCCAAGTACAATGATCCAATCTCAGTGTTAGCTCACAATTTGGTAATTGAGGCTTCTTGGTTAGAAGTCTTAGGAACTTTGCTAAATTAATCCCAATCACCTAGGTCATTACAGAGAAAAGTGACAAAACAGATACACGTGTTCATGTTGGGGATGCAATGTTTTCCACCAATCCCCATTTTCTAYACTCACACCATCATCACTTTGTGAGACTCTAAGAGACTCAGGCAAGTTAGATGATGCCTTAAACTTAGTCAACCAAGACATAGGACCTCTGAGGCTTAGTTCCCTGTCTGGTCAATCCCAAGAGCCACAGAAAGGGGTTTTACTCTCAGGTAAACATTGGACCTGATCAATTGAGTAATGTAATTTTATTCATGTCATTGATCCTGTTTTACTATAAGCCATATGGTACAGGAGTTCTCAGGCTTACCACAGAATTAAAGTGGGTTTGGTCCATCAATTAAAAAAAGATAACATTTCTCAAATATCCGATTTTATTTTATCATTGTTAAACACAATCTGAAGTTAGGATCAGAATTCCCAGTCTGATAGACTTATAAGCCATACCATAGGGGTAAACATTAAAAGAAGTGAATTCTAATATTATATAGATTTCCATTTCTAAATACAGTATATTACAGAAGGTTAAATACACCACCTCTGTGCACTTACAGCTATAAAAAGATACATTAACTATATCAATTATAAATAAGGTAGCATTTCATATTAAGGCATTATTATACAATGAAAGGATAGGAACCCTCTAATGTACTACTAAGAAGGTTAGTGTCTATAGTTACTGGAGATACTGCAAATTCAGTGTACGAAGTCAAATCCTGATTTAACAAGTTATTGGTAGTACAAGTGATGAGTGTTAACTGCTGGAGAAGAGAAGRTGAATTGCATATTGCATTTCTCTGACAAGGATGAAGAAACCCTAATTCAGACATGATTGTCTTTATACACACTGGTTCTGACAGAGTTTCATTTTACAATTGCCCACTCCAACTTAATCCTCAAACATAAGCACCATTTTTTTTCCAATGAGAAAAGTACTAGTTAGTAACAAGAAAAGTACCCAAATAACACAACTTAGGTTTGGTTTGKTTTTTAAAGCTATGTGGGAATGCTTTCAGATTTCCAAGTTAAAACATAGAATTGCACATCATTTGGATACACAAAGGAAGAAATTGAAAGTTTTGTAACCTGTTAGTGAACTATTCAGGTCACTTGGATGAAGACCCAGTTCTTCTATGGAATTCAAATGTTGTTTGTTAACTAATCAGAAATTTATACCAAAATAGGACTTTAGAAAAACAGGGCTGGATTATAACAGCAGTCTTTGCAGTTGTGTACATTTTTACTAACTTAAAATGGGTAATGGAACTASAGAAAAGGAAAAGTGTATACACTTATCAGAAACCATTACTGAATGTGGTGTCAATGCATAATTTGTAAAAGGGAGTCATTRCTCTGATTTGTCAAACTTGGGACGTAATTGTCTTAGGATTTGTTATGTTGTTGTGGTAACAGAAATTGGAATCTTCAGCAGCAAAGGTGACACTAATATTGTTGTTAGCCAAGAAAGTTGCCTTGGTTAAAGTAGCCTATCACATAGTTTTAGAGTAAGCTCCTTGGGAGGTTGATATGGTCATATTCCTAAAGCAGTATTGATTTCAAGGTGAATCCCATGGTCAATGTCAATATGCAGTCCTCCAAGACCCATACCTGTGCATGCCCAAGGCCTCTGGCACCCTTCCATGGTATGTGCTTCCTAAAAGCTCCCCACATCAGATCCTCAAAATTTTCCTTTTTAACTTAGTGCTAATCCTTCCCTTCTGTATGATCTCTCCCCTTCCTCAGAATGGGGGGTGGGTATTGTCCTGTGCACAGGAAACCCTGAGAAGACCACAGGTGTGGGACCCTGCTTGCRGAACATGCAGGGAGCTCTTTCCCAATTCCTATTGGAGTCAGATTCAGCAAAGCATTCTGAAGCAACTGCTGGATACTTGGAGTCCTGTTTCTTGTTAGCAGAGCCCTGAGTGTCTTCACTATCTCTCACATCTGGTCTAAAGGCAAAATTAGAAATGGCCAACAGCTCCCTCCCCAGACAGGACTGAATTTCACACACGACATCTGGGCATCCACATTGCTAGGTCAATAAAATGTGAGTGTGAGAGGAGAAGAAAAAGCATTCGTTCAATCTCCCGTAGATTGAAAGCGTCCAGAAGAAAGTGTCCCGGGAAGGTCAAGCATTGTACTTTTTTCCTTTGGCGAGTTTGAAGTGCCACATTCAGCTGTCCAGAGTTTGAGGAAGGAGCCCTTCTTTCCTTCAAGGGTTCTTGTCATCAAGTTTGATGGTGACAGTTTTCACTTCTGTATATTCGGCCAGGGCATATTCACCTCTGTGAGGACCGAAGAGAAGAAAAGTCAAACTGAGAATGTCCATTCAYAGTTCTGTGGAAACTGTTCTAATGCCGATTACTCTACTGAGCAGTTTGGGGTTTGGGGTTCTACAAAAGTTTGAGATTGGGAGGAAAACTCTGAAACCTGAAGAAAGTAATAGCTAGGATGATGATGAGTTTAAGTAACTGGAAATATAAGTTTAAATATAAAGGTTTTTGTATGTGATATTTTTGAAATAGAAGAATTAAAGGTTCACCTTCAAAAATATGAAGGGAATTAAAAAAAAATCCAACACTAGGGGAATTCTCTTGTTCAGGGAATTAAGAATCAAAGGACAGGGCWTGGGTAGGTGAACAAAGAGAAGTCAGGGATCAGAAAGGACAAGGGATGGCTCATGCCTATAATCCCAGCAGCTCACGAAGGAGGCTGAGGTAGGAGGGTGTGAGTCCAAAGCCATCCTCAGCAATTTAGCAAGATCTTGTCTCTAAATAAAGTACATAAGAAAGGGCTGGGAATGTGGCTCAGTGGTTAAGCATTCCTGGGTTCAATACCTGGTAGAAAGAAAGAAAGCAAGAAAGAAAGCAAGAAAGCAAGAAAGGAAGGAAGGAAGGAAGGAAGGAAGGAAGGAAGGAAGGAAGGAAGGAAGAAATGACAATGGATTTATAAGTTTTAGGTGGTGATTTGGAGCTGCATGAAGAGACAGAAGAGAATGAGGTCTAAGGCTACTGGTAGATGATGTGGCCAGGGAATCACAGGGACGGAACACCGAGAGCCTAGACTGGCCTGGGAGGGCACAGCTGGGGACCAGCGTAAGAGGAACGATGCCACCTGGTGGGGTGAGGGGCAGATGCTAGCACAGACTGGACACACAGCCTTTGAGTTGGCGCCCTTGGTGCAGTTCCTTTCTTTAAGTCATACAGGAGTCAGGMGCCCCTTCCCAGCACATGGGCCAGACTAGTGGCAACACCCCTTCCCAGAAACAAGCAGCAGCTTTGGCTGGGTTTAAATTCCTCTATAGCACCCGCTCTGCTGTTAAGTAAAGAAAAGTTGTGTGCTTATTTAGGAAAAGAGGTAGAAGTCGAAGTGGCCCCTGGAGGCTCTGTACTAGAAAGACCTGAGACAGTCTCATCCCATCCTTGAGACCAGAAGTCCTCAGAGTGTGGTCCCCAGGCCAGTGCCGTCAGCTGCATCTTGGAACTTGCTAGAAATGCCTATGCTTAGGCCTTATGGAGTCCTGCTGTGGCCAGTAGAAGGAAGGCCCTCCCCAAAGGGTCCATGTCTCACTGCCCTAGACCTGAGAAGACTTAGGTTACATGGCAAAGGGGAATTAATATTGTTGATGGATTTCAAGTGACTAATCAGTTGATTTTAAAATAGGGAGGTTAACCTGGATCATCTGGGTGGGTCATATGATCCTTAAAAGTGGAAGAAGAAGGCAGATAAAGAGAGAGTAAAATGAGACACAGGTGCAGAGAGATGCCACCGTGCTGGCTTTGAAGGTGAAGGAAGGGCCATCATCCAAGGAGGAAGGACAGCCTCTAGGAGCTGGACAGGGCATGGATACACACTCCCCCCAATGGCCTCTAGAGGGAAATGCAGTCTACTGATACTTTTAGCTCAGAGAGACCTGTGTCAGATTTTTATCCTACAGAACTGTAAGATAATACATTTGTGTTGTTTAAACTAAACTAATTTTATGGTAAATTGTTATAGCAATAATGGAAAATGAATATACCTACTGAATTAGAAATTCCAAGGATGTGGCCCAGAAGTCYGTTTTAACCAGTGCATTAAATCCCCCAGTGGATTCTGATGCAGGCTCAAGTTTGAGAACCACTAGCTTAGAACTCTTAGGTCAGTCAAGTGCTTTGTCCCTCTTGAGCCTCAGATTCATCATCTGAGAAGTGGGAATACTATAACCTCCTTGCAGTTATAACAATTAGGAACAATTCATGTGCTAGATAAAATGTGAATGGTGAAAAGTGATATTGTTATTTTATTAATAGTGTGTCACTGAGATTCTTACTTATTTTCTTAAATGTTCTTTCATCATCAAGAACCCATGATAATGAGTGAATTATTTCATAATATTTTTTAAACATACAAACAGAATGCTAAATTCAACTTCTTTACCACTGATACTCTACTTAAAAAGTCCCTAAAAGTAGATGGAAAACTAATATGAATATATGATGTGTATAAATTATATAATATTCATTATATAATTTACAAACCTGTGTGAGAACAGGTCCTGTTTTCCTTAATATATAAAAAGTTCTTACAAACCAATTGGGAAAACAAAAATGACCAAACAGAAAAATCCGAAAGGACATAGTTTGCAAACCAGAAATGCAAATTCTGAAAAGTGTGAAAAGGATACTCAACCTCTCACAATTAAAGAAATGCACACCAAAACAGTGGTGAGCCTATTTGTCACGTGGCAGAGCAGTCAATTTTTAGAAACTTATTCTGAAAACAATCTTCTACAAGTGCATAAAGATTCACACATGAGGAAACATAGGCATGGTTTATAATAACAAAACACCTTGGAAATAACACAAAAGTCCATTGAAGGAGACCATCACCAAGAAGAATGGAAAGATAACCAATACCCATTCTTAAGAGGAAAGGGTAGTTTGCCCTCATTTCATCTAAAACCAGAAGAGACTTGATTGCTTTTATAGAAAACCTACAATACACTTTAAAAACAAGCACAAAATGTTGCATTGTAAAAATTCAAGGTTGTTAATGACTTGTCAGATTTCTAAATAAAAGTAAAGAAAGTGATGAAATCCTATTGTATTAGTATATAACTAATAAATACAGAATTAAAATCATTCTTRTAGGAATAAGTACATTGATACCCCCATTTTTTTTTTCTGTTTCTGCAGTTGTTCTAGTTCAAGTTCTCACTGCTCTTATTCAACCCATTGTGGCTCATCCACCTGGGCAATCAATGTCACTCATGAGCCCAGACTTTCTCCCAATAAACCTCACCAGAGCACCAGGGGGAAGGGACTGGTGACTGTGTTGTTCACTGCCACATGCTCAGAACTTAATGTCATACCTGAGCATCAGAAATGCTCAATAAACACTTGCAAAGTGAATGAATAAGTGAACAAAATGAACGAATGACCAGCAGTTACCTCGAACAAATGAGGTTGAGGATCAGGGGAAGAAGAATTTGATCTTCCCCATGTCTTACTATGTGAAGTTTTTATTACTGTCTCAACTGTATTACAAAGCAAAACATAGAACTTAGAGGGGGGAAAAAAGAAAACAGTGACAAAGAAGGAAAAAAAAAAAAACACAACAGGCTCCATCCCAAGACTGGACTAGAAACAGATCCCAGAGGGGCTCATGGGTGGGCAGCCAGTAACCAGCCCAGCTCAGGAGGCCAGGTTTGGGGAAAACCGTGGAATCTACCGCATGGTGCTCCAGCATGAAAATAAAGGGGGAACTTCTTGCAACATGAAGACATTAATTAGAGATGATTAAAAATAGAAATAAGTTTTGAAGGCAGTTTCTAGGCTCCTTGTAAATATTTTTTAAATATTTTATCAAAAATCTTGGGGAAATATATGTCAAGGATCCAAAAAACAGACATTCAAAAAAGTTTCAACTGTGGCTAACCAGAGGGACAGGGCACGGGGGTGCTAGGGGGCAAGGACACCATCCGAGTGGTGGGAAGGGAGATGAGGAAACCATGCAGGGAATCAGTTTGGGCCATACAAACTAGGCATCAGGTGACTCCATGTGCCTTTCTGTAGCTTCTACAAATAAGGACAGTTGCTTTGGGGACTGGAGTTCTTGCTGCCACATCTGGCCTCTCAGGGGAGGACTGTGTGGGATCTGAGTTCCCTAGCCCTCATGACCTGACTGGGTGAAGACAGAAGATCAGAGGAGGCAAATGACTACACGAGCCCTGCTGGCTTCATTCCAGTTGGCTTCCAGAGGTGACCCTTGCCCAGCCAGGATCTCTACTGTGGGGGGTCCAGGGACCAAGCTGCCAGCATTTATTCCCTGCTCTGCTACTCACTAGCTCTCTGGGCCATTTGCTCATCTGAAAGCAGTTGTACCCCCTCACAGATTGTCACAGGACATGAACTAACATGCAGGGCTTTCACAGAGCCTCCTAGAGTCTGCTCAGCAAATGCCGGTTGCCATCAGCACTATGGAGGATCCTGGAGGGAACCCAGTGACCTCAGTCTAGGCCTCCTGTCTCAGGTGGGCAGGCAGTTTTAAGAGTTAATGAAATAGAGGCTCAGAGAATGCAAAGAGACACCAGCCGGCCACCAGGGGGAGGAAAGAGGCTGCTGCAAAAGGACTTCATGATCAAGAATTTACTAAAGTTCCTTGAAGGGGAAACCAGTTATAGAAATAAAGAGGATGCTCTCCACTCAGACATGCAGATGACTCTGGGGCATTTGCCATCAGTTAGATTAGAAAGAAGGACTGATGTGATACGAGGTCCCTGATTCCATGCAGACTGGTCAAGAGCAATTGCTCAGGGGTGGAAGCCAGCTCTGTTCCTTTATAACAGTATCTTTAAAACAGTTCCTTTATAACACTATCTTCAAGTATCTACAAGTAGAGCCCTTAAAGGCCCCACCAAGACCCAAGGCAAGGGGAAGTGTTTGAGTGTGTTTCCACTAGAAGATGTGCAAACAAGTATAAGGTAATGCATTTGTGTATAAATGACCCAAATTGTTTAAATAAAAGGAAGAACTCAAGCTCTTAGAAATGTCCCAGGAACAGCCCTGGGGTGTTGTCACAGATGGTTCCCTAGGAACATTGAGCCTACAAGATGTTTGTCCACAAGGCTAATAAAACCCTGAGCAGCACCAAGAAGGAGATGGGGAAAGCAGCCAGAGCCAGCTAGAAACCACAGCGTCTCCACCCCTGGGGATACTCCATCCAGCTCTGGACCTGGGCCAGATGCAAGAAGGCCTGTCCATGAATCTCAACCTACAGAGCTCTTTTTCCCAGCAGGCCAKAAAGAAAGGAGATGTTGGAGGGGTAGGTGGTGGGTTGGAACACACTGATGGGATCTGGAGGCCCAGCAGGACTCCCAAAGAAGTATCAAGAAGGAACCAGATTGACCCATGGTGTGTCTCCTGGGGCCTCTGCTGGGCTCCAAGATTCGAAGCCTGACTTGGGTTTGAGTCTATCTTCCTTGCAGAAAGTGGAGATTGTGCATAATGACAGCCTATGCTTGGCAAAAAGTGCACTTTTCCAGAGCTCTGTGGCCTCCTCTGGCAAGCCTAGATCAAGGATTTAGGGAACATTCCCTGTAGGATGAGGGCTGGCAGGAAAGCTGAGGCTGGAGGTTGTCTTGTGGCCTGGGGGAAGTCAGGTTAAGGATGAGGGTGGGGAATGGACTGCCAGCCTTTGTGACAGGGCTGCCCCAGACAGAGCAGGTTAGGGGATCAGGTGAGAGCTCAAGTTGCTGCACTGCAATTCTAGTGTATCTTTCATTCCCAGGTGGGCAGGTTTAGGGTGCCAGAAACACTTACAGTTCTCTGCCATTCCCCGACATTTTGAAGCCACCAAATGGAGCCTGTGCATAGAGTGCATTGTAGCAGTTGATCCTAGAGAAAGGATGAAAAGATACTGAGAGTTACCTGGAGAAGACCCCACCTGCACCTTGGGTGCTCCAGTAATTAGACACTTAATTGCCTAACACATGGCCTTTGGCAAAATTCCAATATTAAAACACAGTGAGTTCTTAACTTCTGCTTTCTTCTTACCACCAGAAGCTAAAATTTGAATATAATTCAGCCCAGAGCTTTTCATTGGAATAGGAATCAAATGAAAAGACAAGCACAAAGAAGAAAAATATTATGGCTTAAGGGAATAAGAATTAGCTTTGAAATAACACAGACCTGATTCCAAGTTTTGCTTCCTGAACTACGAGACTCTAAGCTTGTTACTCAAACTTGCTAAGCCTCAATTCATTCATCTTTAAAATGGGAATTACAATATATAATTAATTCCTTTAGAATTACTGGTGAGGCAGGAACTAGTATCCAGACTTTGCAGATGAGCATGCACTGATTTTAGAATCAGAACCAGAGTCAGATAGTCAGCAGAGCTGATCTAAGGCATAGGCCCTGAAGCTTGCTCTGCCTGGTACAGCTGTTCCCTTTCATATATAGATTCTGCAGCTTCAGATTTGACCAACCTTAATTGAAAATTTTTGAAAATAAGATTGCATCTGTACTGAACATATACAGATTTATCCCTTTGTCATTATTCCTAAGAAATACAATATAACAACTATTTACATAGCATTGATAAAAGTATTAGGTATGATAAATCATCCAGAATTCAGTTAAAGTATACTACTGGATGATGTGCCTAGATTATATGCCCAAACTGCCATTTTATATAAGGGACTTGAGTACCTTATACATTCAAGTATATAAAGGTCCAGGAACCAATCTCCTAAAGTTACTGAGAGATGACTTTACAGTATGTGACCCTGGGAAAGTCACTCAACCTCTCTGTGTCTTGGTTTCCTTATCTGTAAAATGTGGTACCTAACACCATAAGGGAACCCATTTCAGAAKGTGGTCATGAGGATCTAGCAAAGTGCCCACACAGTGGGTACCACATAATATACAATTAGATGCTCTCTGCTAAAAGAGAAATAGCCAAGGACCCAGCCAGCAACTGAGGGGAGCCGACACACACACACAAGCACTCAACTCACCAAACTGTTCCAGACTCCAATGCAGAAGCCAATTTCAGGGCTTTRTCCAGGTTTTTGGTGAATATGGCTGCTGTGAGTCCATAGTCAGTGCTGTTTGCTCTTTTTATCACTTCTTCAATATTTTTGAACTTCAGTATTGGCTGCACTGGTCCAAAAATCTATGATTAATTGCAAGAAGAGCAGTGAGAGGCATGTTTGGGTGGATATGTATGCTCCGAGCAGGTGTTTCCCTGGTTGTATGCCTTTTTCACAAGTTCATGTGTTAGGCAGCATCTACATTAAGTGTCTAATAACTGGGGCACCTAAGATGCAGGTGGGGTCTTCTTCATGGAGAAGAAGGAACACTAGACATCTTTCTAGCTGCATGATGGTTGAGCTCTGAAGAAAAGGATTAAAATGAAATAAAAACAAAATATAACAACCCCCCATATGTTGTATTTGCCATCTGTCTTTATGATCAGGGTTTCTGAGAACCCCCCTGCCTTGTGGGCAGGTGGGGGTGCACAGAAGACAAACTTCCAGGTGCCTTTTTGGAAAGCTATCTCTAAGGGTGTCCCTAAGCAGGGCTGTAGGACTGTGTGGCCCAGCCTCCTGGTGCTGCTTTTCTACSAATGAGGACACCCTAACATGTTTCCATGATAACTCCGAGGGGAGGAAATGGGACAGTGCTCACACAGTCTACAACCCAGCAAAGAAAAGGCAGGGAAGAACTGAGAACTTGCACATTTAGGGGGTATTCTGAAGGGAGCCTGCAGTGGATTTAATGTTAGGCATGAGTCTATCTCCGCAGGACGGTGCCCAGTCTCTGGAAACACATTCCCAGGTTCCCCAGGACCTCTCATCATGGGGATGTTTAAGGAGCTAAGCTTCGTGTCATTGTGGTGGTGTTAGTAACCCCTCAAAATCTCAAGAAGAAACACCTGTCCAGCAAGCCCTCCAGCAGTGCTCATTCTTTCACGTGCCCCAAAAGATCACTGGGTATCAGGTCTTGTGCTATAAGCCCTGTGCAGGAACGCGCTTCCATCTGCCTACCAGTAGGACTGGAGGACAAAGGTAGACTTACACTCTTATGGGGTCTCCTTAATTTCTATTATTCCCAGGAATGGCCCTGATGGAAAATTTCAATGAGAATTCTTGCTGGGACACATTCCTCGAATGAGCACTTGTAATTTACGCTTTATCTGGAGGAACTCAAGACAACTTTGAGCCCTGAATTTACAGCTGGATTCCTGGCAAGACCCACAGGTGGAGGCTGCTTTCCACACGTGGGCTTCGTGATGAACTTAGGGACGTGCTAGAAGACAGGGGAGGGTTGCTACTTCTCAGAGACTCAGAGCAATGAGTGGAGACTGAGGCTAGCATCCTATCCTTAGGGTGTGCTAGAGACCCGGGAACAGGGGACTGGAAGTATCTCCTTAGGGGCCCTAAGGAAGAGAGGAAAGGCCACACGGAAAAGACAAATGTTCACCCCACAAAGACTTCTGATATTTCCGGGCCTTAGAGGAGAATGGTTTGAAGGGCCCCTGGGGCTACAGCTTTGGCTGCAGCCACACATACCTCCTCTTTGGCAATCCGCATGTTGTCGGTCACTTCTGAGAAGACTGTGGGTTTGATGAAGAGCCCCCTGTCTTCCATGGCCGAGCCCCCACATTCCAGTTTGGCCCCTTCATTCTTCCCACTCTCAATCAGCTCCAGGATTTTGTCAAACTGTTTTTGATCAATCTGCAAAACCCAGAAGGGAATTAAGGCTCCTCCCCGTGGGGCAGTAGCACCTTCTTACACTGTCAATGGCCTTTGATGCTGGCCTCCCCCATGTGCCTTAACCAAGCCCTAAGTCATATAACAACCATGCCTTGCAGGCAAATATGCCTCCAATGCACAAACCTGCACCCTTTGGACCAGGGGAGACCTGGCAATAGGCTGCTCTCACCCTCCCCAGGTTTGGGGTTCATTCACCTGATTCCCTTCTCCATGCTGTGAGATCAGCCAGGGGGTGAAATTGGTTTGAAGTTCTCATGTTCTTTGCTTTCTCAACACTTTGCACCCTGCTAAAGTGGCTGAACTTAATAAATAAAAAAATATAAATCAGCTAAATTTGAATCTCAGAAAAACAACATATGATCTTTTTTTTTAGTATAAGTATGTCCCAAACAATATTTGCTTGAGACATTTATTAAAAATATAAAAACATTTATATAAATATTGTTTGGGACATACTTGTGCTAAAAAGGCCTTTGTTGTTTAGATGGAATTCACATCTAAGGGGTATCTTGTATTTAACCAGGCAATCCTGCTCCCTGCTCACTAAACACCATGGATCAGGGGAACTGTTCTGAAATTCTCCTTTCATGGTGAGGAGATGTGGGCAGGAAAGCCAATGGCCCTACCCGGCAACTCTGGAAGCAGAGTAGAGTGAACTTCAAGGTGGAGCGGAGGGGCTGCTCCTTGGTGGGTGTGGAACCAGCTCATCAGAAAGGCTTCACCTTTTTCTACACATACATTTTTAAATTTAAATATCTTTTCTTTTTTTATTGGTTCTTTTCAGTTAAACATAACATKAGATTCATCTTTATATAATTATAAAAGCGAATATAATTTGTTCTAATTCAGTCCCTGGTACATCCCCTTTTCCTCCCCACCTCCCTCCCCTGGTTCCATTYCCTCTCCTTTACTGATCTTTCTGCTGTTTACTTTTAGTTTTTTTTTTTTTTGTTAGTGTCTTGTGGATGTACACAATGGTGAGATTCACTGTGGTATGTTCATTTCTGTACATAGTAAAGTTAGGTCAGATTCATTCCTTTCCTATGTACAAATATGAATTTGCCACCTTTTGCTATCTTGTCTAGAGGTCTCCTTGGCTGGAATGTGCCCTGTACTATAACCTAATACCCGATTTGTGGACATGTTACTAACTGTGAAAATGGTCCCTCTATGGGGAACAGCTCAACTGTAAAAGTGCTCTTCATATTCCCCTCCACTGGCTTTCTTCCTGAAATCCATGGGATCCCTATTCTCCATCATGACTCTGTTTACAGTGCCCTTCCTTGTGGACCAGGGGAGACAGAGCTTTAATAGGTTTACGGTAGCTGAGATTTTTAGATAGAAGAACTGGCTTCAGTCTAACGATGTTAAATAGAGAAATAAGAAATAAACCTAATGGTACATCTCGGTGACTATCTCCGAGGAGCAGACTGGCTTTCTTAGAAGGGGAGGGTGTAATATGTGCATGTCATTTGACTGACAGACTCATGAAATATGGATCCAGTTTTAAAATATTGAATCTGATCCATACCTTGTACCTTATACCAAGAAAATTCCAAATAGATCAAAGATGTAACCACAACCAATGAAAACATACAAGTTTTTCAGTTCTCTCCTGTGGGAGATTGTCCTTGAAAACTCCGAGTGTTGATGGCCAATGACTTGAGATATAGAAGCCAAAAGAGAAAAGATAAATTTGAATATGAAAGAATGAAGGAAAGGAGAAGAGGAAGCAAAATCATAAGCAAAATCATAAGCAAAGAAAAAGGCTTTGAAAAAACATTGACAAGTCCTAAAGAAAACAAATCTCTCTAGTGTATCTATAAGGAGGTCTTAGAAGTGATAAGAAAAATGACCAACATACGGGAGAAAAATATGTAAAGCATTTTCATATTTGATAGAAAAGGAAACACAAACGGCTTTTAAGCATATGATAAAATATTTTCCCTTACTATTTGAGAGTAGAATGTACATTAAAACTAAATAAGGGCTGGRGTTGTGGGTCAGTGGTAGAGAGTTTGCCTAGTACCTGTGAGACACTGGTTTAATCCTCAGCACCACGTAAAAAATAAATAAATAAGTAAAATAAGGCATTATGTCCATCTACAACTAAAACTTTAAAAAAACTAAATAATAATCCATTTTTAACTCTCAGGTGGGCAAGAATCCATATTCTGTTGGTAGTGTTGGGGAAAAAAGCTTATACAAATGTGGGTAGGCACATAAATTGGTTTAATGTGCTGTGGAATGTAATTCAGCAATTACAAATGTGTTCTCACTTAGCAACACTACTTTGGGGAATCTGTCCCATGGATTTCCTTGTGCCTGTATGAAATCACACTGAGGCATTGTGTGTGACTGCACACAGCCACATGTCCATGGGAATGTTATTTAAATTTCAGTGGCTTCATATAGCAGAATTTTATGTGCACGTATAAAAGAACAAAGCAGGTGCCCATTGACAGATATAGAAAGACCTTCAAAGATACAACACAGTGCCAAATGGTAGAGCTATCATGGTATATTTTGCATAAAAATGAGGGAGGAAATCAGAATACATGTTCATATTTGCTTGTATACACATAAAGAAATTCTACAGGTATACACCAAAAATTAAGAACATGGGATACCCATAGTGAGGAAGAGCAAGAACCAGGGGTGTTAAATGGGGAGGGTAGGAAAGAGCACTTTCACTACAGACCTTTTCACAAATCTAGGGCTTAGTCCACATGCATTTATTCCCACTTGAAAAAATGATGAGAACAACTACAATGGATCCAGTAATAGCTCAACTTCTCTCTGTGTGAACCAAATCTTGGCTTAAAAGTTCCAGGTGCTGCTGTCTCCCTCCTCCTCCCTGGGGACCAACAGGACTCACTTAAGGGGCTTCATCAGACCACAGATTCTCAATGGCTGCTGACCACGTTCCGCCCGGAAGACCCCGTCTGTCTTGCAGGCAGCACTGAATCCCAGTGAAAACCCTACACATCTGAACACTCTCCCTGGTGAGTCCATATGGACACATTGTTTAAATCTAATAATCATCCCATGAAACATCAGCTGGTGCCTTACAGTACAGGAAGAAGGACCTGCCAGGAAGTGAGATGACGGGGCAGGGCACATCACCAGAAACATGGAAATACAGCCCTCAGAGGACTGGCCCAAGGCTCGGCTCTTACTCTCTCTCTGCCTGGGAGGATGCCTCTGGATCCTGCCCTGGCCAGGTGGCCTGCGTAATGTTTATGCGCCTGGTTGCTCAGTTGCCAAATAAACCTGAATGAGTTTGGAGTGCTCCAGCAAGTGGCTCTCCAACAGTGGACACTGATCTAGGTCAGCTAGCTCTTTTACAGGCATGAGGCAGACAGGACTATTTAGACAGCTGTAAGTCCTCTCAGAATAAAATCTTATTACCGTGGATGAAAAAGCACTTGGGGAAGAAAAAAAAAAAAAACCCAACAACATCCTAAAATAATAAGCTGAGGTTAGATGGCTTAAGTGAGCTTTCAAAAGGACTTTGAACAGCAGCATGAAAGCACAGATGAAATCAACACCCACCGCCCTTGCATCCACACTCTGGGAAGAGCTTGGTATATTTGGCTTCACGAGTCAGGACTGGAGCCCTTGGAAAAAAACTAACAAACAATGACAGGGTAAAAAAGGGTCCTTAGTCTGGGGGTCAGCTCACATATTTCCCACTGATTCTGGATTACCTCAAAAAATCACAGTGGATTTGATAATGACTTTGTGGTAATGTTTGCATTGAGAGCTGAAATCCAACCAAGGCCATTGACTGCCCCATATTGCTGACTGCTAAGTCTGTGGCTGCTGCTGGGGACAAGGGATGTTGGCCATGAGTGGAGCTGCTTCTCCACCACAGCATGAGGTACAGAGCAGCAAACTCATGAGCTGGAGCCAGGGGAGGGTAGGCACTAAGGCCATAAAAGCACCCCTTGTTCCTATTTCCCCAGTTAGACTCTCTCCGTAGGATAGATAATAAGATTGAAGTCACACATAGACATTCATGTCACCTAGATTGGAGGACTGTCATTTCATATTTCTTCCTTTTAAATATATATGGGAAAACACCCTACCTCTCACTGAATAGCTCCTAGGTGCCATGAAATTCTTATAATATTCATCCTTTACTCCCATTTCCCAGATAAGGAAACTGAGGGGTGGAAGGATCTTATGACTTTCACAAGGCCACAGAGACAAATTTGAGCTCAGATCCACAACTTCCTGTGTAAACACGGGGTGCTGATGCAGTGGGTAAGCAGTGAGCTTGCAGGATAGATGCCAGGGGGTAAGTCACAGACACTGGATTTGAAACGTCAGGGCTAGAGCAAGGATTTGGCTAAAAGCAATGGGTTGCTGCCGAGCTCCATTTCAATAATACATGGGATGGTCAGGCTGTCCTCTTTTAAATATTTATCCATCYGCTTCACTTCATAATTAGTAAGAAAGCGATACAGGATGTGCCCTTTTAAAGAGGTTATTAAATCTCATGGTTACCGTCATTTTCATCCTGTCCTTGGCTTTCCAAACCAAGCCTCCAGAGACTTGTTCCTACTGCTCGGAATGCATCCCCATCCCCAGAGCCCTCTCTATCCGGGATTCTTTGGTTTCTGATGGTCATCTTGTGCTACAGCACATGTGAGCTAGAGGGCCCCCAGCCAAGACTGCTGGCTCCGCTGCTGCCCTGGCTGCACTGTGCTGCAGGGATYCAGCCTTCCTCTGCAGGGAGACCACGCTTGGCCTGACGCTCTGGTCTGGCCTAGGAGAAGGACAGTACACTGAGAGGACTGGTTGCTGCAGGCAGATGGCCTTTTGTCCTGGGAACTTCTCCTTCCTCCGGAGGCCCTGTGCCTCTGTGTGTCCACCCCCATGTCATAGCCCTGCTGAAACCCGATGGGATCATATTGTTGATGGGCTTCTACACGAAAGCCTGTAGTGGCAGCTGGAGTCAGCATTCCTTCCTTTGGAAGGGTCTGTGTGGGGCCACATGTCTGTTCTGTTCGGTCCCCAGAGGAGCACCACGTACAGCAGACACCTCAGTGGATTACCTGGGGCCCCTGCTCGGTTTTGGCATCGAAAGGGTCTCCCACGGGCCGTTTCTTGGCGTACTCCACGCTCCGCCGGACAAACTCCGAGTAGACCTGCTCCTCCACGAAAACCCTGGAGGCGGCTGTGCAGCACTGGCCTTGGTTGAAGAACACTCCCTGATGGGCACACTCCACTGCCAAGTCCACTGGAGGGGGCGGGCRGGCAAGGCAAGAGGAAGCGATTAAGTTGTTAAAGAGGCCTGGCGACAGCTGCAACTCTAATTGCCCACACAAGAAAACAGGCCCCAGGATGGCTGCAATTCAGAAATTAATTTTGTTCTCAGCATTTCCCAGAGAGGATGGGAAAAAAGGATTTTCAGGTCTGGAGTTAAGTAAGTCCCCTGCCTGCAGGACCTCTCAGGACCTCAAATATGCTAATGGGCACAGAGAGGTGTAGCACCTTCCATGCCCCTTGCCCATGGAACTTTCTTCAGCCCTTTTTCTGAAAGACTAACTAATGTTCCATGGAAAAAAACTCGGGCAAGTTTTGATGTGGGCCAATKGTAGGAATTTTTAAAGGACTCAAACTTTTCCACCTTGAGTGAAAGAAGGGTCTTGTAAGTCACCTGATGCCATCTATGACTCAGAAGTTTTAAAAAGGCAGGGCTTTAACCTCAGGCCTGGATCTGAATCGTAGAGCCAGTGCTGAATCAGTTGCTAAAGCCTAGCTAGAAGGCTATTCAGACAGATTTTTTGAGGGGGGGCATGCTTGCTGGGTGAAGATGACAGTCAGATGTCATTTGCATTTACAAATTTACAGAAGGGCTTTTAGTACACAATGGTTGGCTGGTTTTCCAGCATCCCATACTATTGCTTGTTTAAGAAATGAAGCTTCCCTTTACACTGGGCAAAGGCACAGGGCCCCGGGAGGCATTGGAAGGTGATTCATTCCAAGTCCATCCGAACAGCTCTGARGGATTCTGCCCTTGGACTTGAGTAGGAGGCCATTGCCATTGGCGGGTTTGTCTGTAAGCTGTGGTAGCAGGACAGAGCGTCATAAAGCTGTTGACCCTCCCTGCCACCACCACCCCGGCAGCTGGGCTGGGTGCCAGTTTACACARCCCCTCCCCCAAGACAACTAATTCATTCCTGCACCATGACAGGAGCTGGGGGTGAGGGCTGAAGTGTCAGGGAAGGGTGGCGTGTTACCCCTGATATTATGTCAGGATTTMATTTCATGGACTGGCACTGCCCAGATTAGGAATAGGAGATGGCTCCACAGTGTGGACTTTCTTTCTTTCTTTTTTGAGCCTTATGAAACCAACTCCCAAACAGAATGTGTCCTGTGACTTTTTGGTTATGGTTGTGACTTTTGTGCCACAAAAGAACAAGAAAGTGAGCTGGAGTGCAGATGAGGCTCCCAGACACAGTGGCCCAAGAATGCAAAACAGGARTCCTGGCTCTTTTGGATGAGAGTTTAGGACTCCAAATATGAGCTGCAATGGGGCAGCACCCCACAGCTCCATGTGACTCTAGAGACCATGAGCAACACTAATGAGGCCTCCACAAGGGAGCACCAACCCAGGCAAGAAATGGGYAGTCCATCGGGAGCTTGTTTCCTTACCCTGCTTCTCTCCCATTGAAAACCAGCTTCAGGAAAAGGAACTGATATCAGTCATTCACACCATAGCAAGAAATTGTGCCAGGACCATTTTTCCCCYCTCAGGGATATTTGCCATTCCGGCCTTATTTGTGTGAGGAATGGAAGGTTTTGTTCTTTACGACGGGAATTTCTGGCAGTAGTGAACGCACAGGGGAGGCCGTTCTTTAAGGCAAAGGTCCTCAAGGTATTGGGAAGTCATACTTTTTGATAGTTGACCCTGTAGGTAAATGAAGGCCCAGTATAGTCCCTTCTATCCTCTTCTAGACATGGCAGCCAAGAATAGCATATATTTTAATATTATGTCATGCAGCTGGAGCAAGACTCCAGCCACTCCCTAACTGCTGAGCAGGTGGCTTTCCCAGGGAAGAGACAGTACCCAGACAGACCACGGGCTTTTTTTTTTTTTTTTTAAGAGTCAGTTGCCACCATCTTTCTCGGATTTATCAATCAGGCAGGAGACAAAGAAGGAAGATACAACTCTTCGGAGAGCCTGGGAACACTGCAGGAGATTCTGACTCAAGGGTAGAATAACAGCTGCTGAGAGTGGAGAGCACCTGTCTCCCCACTTTCCCTCATTCTCTTGCCCCTTTTCTACCCTACAGGGGGTCTGGGGGGAAAACTAGGCCTGTCTGCTCCTCAGGGCCCCAACTGCAGCCTGGCAGAGTCAGGAACATGAACTTAATCGTGAGGGGCAGCTTCAGGCAGCTCCTCCAGCTTCTGCCCTGGCCATGTCCTTCTCCAGTGTAGCTTTCTATCAGCAATAGAGCAGACAGTGTGATCTCCATCTGCCTGGTCATGGCTGGCAGACGGCAGGCAGGCTGGCCCAAGGAGGGAAATACCCCCACTGACTGTGATGATGTCTCTCTCAGCTGGTCTTGAATGCAGGCCAGGAAGTGGGGCAGGATTTACAGATGTTTGAAGTTCCAGGAAAAAAAACCCAGAAGGGACAGAGACTCACAGTCAGCATCAGCACACACGATACAGGGGTTCTTGCCCCCAAGCTCCAATGTCACCCTCTTCAGATTGCTCCGGGAGGCGGCTTCTTTAACCAGCTTTCCAACCTTCAGGACAAAAAACAAGCCAGATTAAACCTTGGACATAACTTAGTGTAGCTGAAATGTACATGCTAGCTAGAGTCATGGACCAGCCTGGCAGGCAGCACTGCAGGGCCAGGGAGAGGCAAGCTCTCCGTGGGGCCCTAGGCCTTGATGGAGCTCCCCTGGCCTCGGCCAGCATCTTCCCTTAGACTGATCTGACATCCTGGAGCCACTCCACTCACAGGTGTGGATGGGAATCTCTGGATGGTCCTGAGATTTGCCCACGGGCATAGCCATCTACTTGCCTTCCCAGAACCTGCCCCTCTGGGCCCAGCAGTCTGGCCCATGCATCTGAAAAGGGCTCAAGATACTGAGATATTGAGGGGTGACTCCTCCACCTCTCAGTAGTAGTGGTAGTAATAGCTGAAATTCCGACAGCCCAGTAGGGAAGGTGTGGCTCTTTGGTATAATTTGAAGGATGTTTTGAGAATTAGGACTGAAGCTAGTGTGGGCAGGTGGGCAGAGAATTGAGGCATGATGAAGAAACAGGAGAACAATCCATCAGACAGCAAACAGTAACACTCAGCCTCCCTCCCGTGTCCAGTGGGGTCTCTCCCATGGCCCAATGCGTGCCTGCCCTGGAGTGGAGGGTTATCCAGCATGCCTCCATGACTTAATTTGAGAAAGAAGTAAAGCCAGCCACTAAGGATGGTAGAGCAGGGAAGACGCTTAGAGACCAATGCTGATGCTGAGGCCCAAGAGCTGGACAGCTAGCAAAGGCAGGGCTGAGGCTTTCTCCCAACGTTGGGGGAGGAACACATTTTAAAAACCAGCAATCTCAGACTGGGCATGGAGCTCATGGCAGAGGGCTTGTGGAGTATGCATAAGGCTTTGGGCTTCATTCCCAGCCCTATGAAAATAAGATAAAATAGACGAGAATAAAATCTTCGAGCTCATGGGTGATGGCCTGGATGAGGTCAGGAATCCATAATGACAATACTGGTCTCCAAGGGAAGTACAAAAGCAAAACCAGCCTGTCCCAGGATGGCAATTTATGGCGAGGTGGGGGTGGGGTGTGGAGGACAGCAGGGCTGCTGGGGCAGTTTAAAAGCACCTGGTTTTGGAGGTGCCCTCTGGCTGAGCAATCCCTGGGACCGCAGAGGCCGTTTGCTTGGCCTTGGCTTTTGAGTGAAGCAGGCATCTCCCAGCTGGACTTACGGTTACCCAGAGAGGACACAGGACATCTGCACAGAGGCGTGGGAGGGGCGGGGACAACTTTGCTGCTGSGTGAGAAGGCAGGGGAGCCCCTGGAGGGCAGGAGCCACGGCTCTGCCCTGATGACTGGACCAGCTATTCAGTTCAGTGTCCTGAGCACCCACTGCCCGTCGTGGCTGTAGGTTAGAGCCCAATTTCATTCTGACTACACTCCTACATGATGCCCACCTTGGCTGTCAAAGCAGAGGACACCAGCACCCTCTTTCAGGGTTCTAGAAGGGGAGGCAGGTTCCTTATTGGATTAAATTAGAATGGAGGTAGGAGTGTTTGTGACATGGGAAGCACTTATTCATTTCTTTTTTAAGTACAGAAGATTGTTGTCATTAAAAAAATTCCAAATACAGATGCATAGAAATTAAAGGGGACATCTGTGTCTTTTCTCATCTCACGTTCCAGGATCTGCCCCAGAGATGGCCATTGTCATTTCTTGGGAATCCCTCCCAGATGGTTTCCATTTCCATACACACATAGGTTTACTAATGGGACCATGTTGTAGTTAACTTCCTACAGTTCAGTTTTTCGTACCTCCTAATGGGTCATAGACAGTTGCTCTGGTTATAAGGACCGTATGACATTTTAAGAGCAGATGTATTGGGGAAATATGTCCTTGAAGGTTATGAGCATATCTCTCTAAAGCACAGTAATTTCCTTAACGTGGAATCTCTGAATCAAAAGTTTTCACTTTGAAATTTTTTAATCAATACTGTTAAATCTCACCTTCCACCTTAGGGACAGTATTGACGAGTGTCTGTTTTCCTATTTTCTCAACAACATCATTTCAGTTTTTATCAAATGGACAGACAAAAGAAGAGTGTGAATTTCATTTGAACAAGCTTTTCTCTGATCACCAGTTAACTAGGTTAAATTATTAGGCACTCAGTATTTCTCTGTGTTGCCCATTTCCCCATCATTCTTTTTTTTTCCTTTTCATTGATTTATAGGAATACTTCACATATGAAGATACAAATTCTTGGGAATCTGCATACATTACAACGGGCTTTCTCCCAGTTTGTTAGTTACCCCTTAATTATGCTATTGTGTGCGACATGGATGTCTTACATTTTTAATTTATCTTCTCTTTCAATCTTTTATTCTAAGACTTTTGAGTTCTATTAAATATTTATTCAGATTGGAAACTGATTGTTATGAACTAAAACATTATCAAATTTAGAAGTARAAAATATTATATTTGAATTTTTAAAGGAAATAGTTGCAGGTCTCAAGTAATATAGCTGCTGCCACTTGTGCCAGCAGTGAGGACGGGTACCTCTGTGGAGCCGGTGAAGGCTATCTTGTTGATCTGAGGGTGAGAAGAAATTGCTGCTCCTACTGTGGGCCCAAATCCTGGCACGATGTTCACCACACCTGGAGGGAACCCGACCTGGAAGAAAGCGAGATGGCATCAGAGGAAGAGAGCAGACCAGTGTCAGTCACAGATGATGCATGGGGGGAAAGCTGGGGCTGTGTGATGTTCCCATGCAGAGCAGCATCCCCATAGCAAGCCTGGGCCTGGGTCATACACACACCAGGACCTGGACAGGTTCAGCTCCTGGGAACTGACCTGGATTTCTCAACCCCTGCTGCCAGCCCAGGGAGCAGGCTGGGCTCCTCCAAGAAGGGCTTCCCACCTGAGAGGGCTCATGAGCAAATAAATGCACAATGATACCACAAGGTGGCACTGGCCCCCTTGTAGAAAAGTACCATTCAGTGTGTATGTGTGCATGCAATAGTGTGTGTGTGTGTGTGTGTGTGTGTGTGTGTATATATGTGCGCGCACGCGTGCGCATGTGTGAGTACACATGTGCATGTGTATGTCAGCGTGTAGGAGTGTGAACGTGTGTATATGTGTGTGCACATGCATTGAGGGGACGAGAGGCACTTTGTCACAAACTCCCAGGCTCAGAGGCACCTGCAAAACATCCTTCCCAAGCAACGCTGTTCACATTTAAATTAATGCTGCAAATAGAACAAGAGATCACTCCCTCCATGTCCTTTGCTTATTCAGCCTGGCTCACACAGGAGCTGGCAGGGGCTGTCACTGCTTTCACACTCACACCTTGTTTTTGCACATTTAAGGGCTCCTCATTAACTAAGAACACTCTACGCTGAACAAGACGGAGGGTGCTACCCCCGACTTGTCCCATGTCTTACTGAAAACATGTTATTTTAAAAAGTGAAGAGTTTGGGACACAGTGCTCAAATCTCTACTTTCCCATTTTTTCAGTCGTTATTTTAGAATCCATAAGTGCGGTCAATGTCATGCTCATGACCTACATCACTGGTCAAAAGAAAGGGAAAGCCGGATTTATTATCCAAGTTCCAACCTTGATCACAGGAATACAGGACATGCATCCCAGTCCCATGGATCCAGCAGAGAAGTGAAAGGAAAGGACCTTTTCTCCCACCCCTCTTTTCTTCCTGTTTCTTTTTCTAAGTCTTTGCTATATACAAGTTGATGATGGGATGAATAAAATAGGTTGCCAGGTGTGTCTGGTAGATAGCGTCCCTGTGGGGAAGATGGTTGCTGGCAGAGCAGAGGGCACTGTTGGAGAGGCCCCTGGGAAAGCCTGCATTGGCTGTGCTACTTCAGCTAGCATGGGTGGGGTCACTCCCCCAAGAGAGAAGAGGACCATTTTACACCCCACAACTCCACAGCCCAAAGAACCCCCTGGATATTTGACTCCCTCTCGGGTGACCCTCCTGCAAATCCTCTAGACAAAAACATTGAGTTTTAAACCATAGGGTTTGAGCCCGTAATAAAAGTGGCATGCTCTCACTGGGACCACTGGGAGGGATGGCATTTCTTCCAGCTCAGTGACCACAAGCAGGAGAAAGAAAGTGCAGTTGCCAAGCCAAACACAGGGAACTGTTCCTTTCCCACTCCATCGTGAGCTGGCTGCCACTGTCACGTCCTGTGACAGGGAGCGGTTCCTAGGAGTGGGAATGCGATCAAGAACACATACTATTTTCTTTTTGGGTGTCTTACCTCTTTGATTAGAGAGCCGAGATAGAGGGCGGTGAGGGGGGTCTGCTCGGCCGGCTTCAGGACCACAGTGTTCCCACAGCAGAGAGCGGGCGCCAGTTTCCACACCAGCATCAGCAGCGGGAAGTTCCACTGAGACAGAGCACAGGGAAGGCCTTGGGGGCCCAGGTTCGTCCTGCCCCCACCCAGGTGCCCAACGATACCTCTGGGGAGGACACTACTTGCTTTTCACCATCTAGGTTTCGGGTTGAAGGGGTGACACAGGAGGTGCCATGGTCAGGGCTACATGGTTCCCCAGCGCTTCCTAAACTGTACCTGTGAGGTCCCGATGGCTAGGTAGCCCAGGAGGAGTGAATTCAGCTGGATCTACATGACATTCCCCCTCCAAAATGTTTGCTGCGGGGGCGACATCCTCCCTGCCTCCTGAGCACTTTTTCAATCCTCAATTCAGTCCGCTGACTGCCCCCCTACCCCCCAGCCCGACTGCCACCTTGGGCACCTGGGCTTCCCAAACAGATGGGCAGCATCATTGCATGCCTGGGGCACCTACCAGCATTGGCACGGCCCAATGGAAGCCCCAGCCCCTCAGAAGCCAAGGCTACCAGAGCGGGCCTCTGCCACCTGACACAGGTACTCATCTCCACCTGACCTCTGGCTCCCACCTGCTCTTTCCTTCCAAGCAGCMCCACTTTGTCCAGGCCAATCCTGTTTGGAACCCCTTTTTCCTGTTGAACTTGTCTTTTTTAAGGCCCAGCTAAAAACCACCTCCTAGGGATACTGGTCATTCCTAACCACTGGCTGGAATCTACCATGCCTTCTGCCAACACCTAGAGCTGGCCTCTCTAACCTATCTCAAGAGCCCTTGCCTCGGAGTACCAGGCCACCAAACACAGGCTCAATCAGTGCTGGCACAAGGCACAAAACACACACCAGAATTTGGCTCCAGAGGACACAGAGAAGCAGGGTGGGGTCTATATAAGGGTCTATCAAGAAAAGCTGTCAGACTTACTGGCGTGATGGCCCCACACACACCGATGGGCTCGTGCCTGGTGAAGCACACAACATTGTCATCTGGAAGAAAGGTGACCCAGTGGGCAAGAGTGCTCTCACTTCATCAAGGTTAAGCATTTCAAGCAGTAAAGACAGGAAGGAAACCCGGAAGCCCACGAGGGTGCCAGCTCCAAGCCTTGTCTGTTATACAAGGAGTGACTGGAACTTAACTTCAAAAATGAAGTAGGTTCCTTACGAGAGGCATCAGCACAGCACCATTTTGCAGGGGTGGGGGGTGGATGGGAAAATGACTTGGAGGGGCTCTGAAAGGGCCGCCTGGAGGAAGGAGAAGACAGAGCCCCAAAGAGACTCCCCCGTGAGGCCAGAGTCTGTCCTGCTTGACTCACCTGTGGGGATGGTCCTGCCCTGGATTTTGTCTGCCCACCCTGCAAAATATCTGAAGGTCTTAATACAGCCCTCCAGGTCAATGAAAAAGGCGTGGAGGAATGGCTTCCCCGTGTCCATCGTCTCCAGGGTCTGCAATAACAAGATGACATCCATTGTAGAGGAGGCTTCCTTTTATCTGTCAGGTTGGTAAAGATGGAGGAGAAGACACAGTTCCAGGACATTGATCTCTGGACCTCAGTCCCCCCTGTCACTTCAGAAAGCATGACAATAAATCGAATAAAAGCCAGGGCTGCTTTTATTGCCAAATGCCTAAGGCTGGGGGCTCAGCTAGGGCTCTGGGCACATGCTGCCCTTGAAGGTTCACCGGAAGCCTCATTAAAGGTCCTCCATGCCATTTGGTCTTCATCTAGACCGCAGGGGCCTCGGCTCTCTGATCTGGACACGTGAGCTTGGACACGACACATGCTTTCTGGGGAAGCTCTGGGACATTTGGCTYGTGAGAAAGTGGCTTCCTCTAACAAAAGAGAAGGGGAAGGCATGAGTTCTCCCCTCTCAGCAGGGCTGGCCAGTGTGGTCCTGGAAAGGGTGATKGGGCCCAGAAGGCTGCTATGCGTCCTAACTTCGCTGATGCAGCCGGAAACAGAGCCGGGAGGGAGCAGCTCATGGACGGGGAGGTGGTTACGCAGGGCGAGCGAGTGTGCAGCAGCTCAATGCAGGGATTCTTTTCTATTTCCAGCCTGGGGTAAAGAGAACCCCTTTGTTTCTTAGACAAGCAACCCCAGTGGAGTCCAACACTGAAACTGCCAGTCATCCATCTCTGCAGGAAGTGGCCACCCTGACACATAGCCCAGGGCTGGATTCCTGCGGAAGCATCAATGCAGTGAGATGATGATGTAAAAAGGAAGGCAGGCAGGCAGGAAGGAAGGCCTCTGCTCCTATGCAGGGCTTTGACCCTATTGCACGGGCATGGATCCCATCCCAAGTGSGGCATCTCCATTCCCACTTAAAGGTGCGGATGGTGAAGCTGACAGAGACCAATGACTCAACCATGGGCACCCACACAGCCAGCACTGAACTTGGGGTGTCCACCAGCACAATGACTACCATTTGGGTGGCTGCCCGGGGGGCATTTGCATCTTGGAAGACTTGAGAAGCTTGGGTCTCCTCTATAATACCTTTGCTTTAGGGATGAGCCAACTCCCCTCTAAATTGGGGGTCACCCTGATTAATGCTAGCTGAGAGGCCTTGGGTAAGACCTGAATCTCCCCCTGCCTCAGTTTCTTCACCTGTAAATTGAGAATAACAACAGTGTCTCCTTTCTAGGTTGGTGTGAGAGTGAGGAGACAGGTACCTAGACCACTGCGTGTGCCTTGCAAGGAGTCCAAAGGAGACCCATGACTTTGATTTCCCTTTAGGTACTATGCAGGTGCTTGGTGATCCTCCCCTGGGGGCTGGAGAAGACAGGGTATGTGTCCCATCCCTAGCAGCCACCACTTAGGGACCAAATCAGGCCAGTGTGACATCCAGTAAACTGTTCCTTTGGCTCCTATTGATTCACATTCCAAGGTGGAACTTTTAGTTTCCCAGGAAAAAAACTTAGCAATTGCAAATAATACCAAAAAGGTCTCTAGGACACAGCTACTCCAGACAGAATCTGCCTGTTGATGGAACCAGGAGTTTATTCTTGGCTCTTTTCTGGAATAAGACAAGGGAGAAGACTTTGACTTTGTGGGTAAATTTGCAGCGTAACTGTTAACTGCCTCTGATCCTGGCTTTTCCACCTTTGGCTGGGTGACCTTGGACAAGTTACTTACCCTCTTTGGTCCTCAGTTTTCTCATCTCTTAAAGGGGATAATAAATACTGAGGTCAAGTACTTACAAGCCAGCTACATGGAGAGCATTCAGTAAGCATTGGGTGTGTGTGTGTGTGTTTTTTTAAAAAAATCATTAGCTTCATCATGAACTTCCTGGAGTGATAATATGAATTTTCCAGGTTAGTTTTATGRAATCCAGGTCACTATAGGTTCAGACAGAAAATTCTTAAAAAACAAAAAAAAATTCCCAGGTGAAGGAGTGGACAGGAACCTGAGAAACCAAGTGCTAGCTACTGAATGGAACAGTTGCCTCTTAAGCTACTTAACAAAAGAGAAGGGGAAGGCATCGGCTCCTTCCTCTCGGCAGGGCTGGCCAGTGTGGCCCTGGAAAGAGCATCAGAGCCCAGAAGGCTGCACCACCAGTACAAGGAGGCTATGCTTCTTTATGGTAGTGGCTCAACCAAAGGAAACCACAGCTACTCCTAAGTTTATTCACATTTTTGGAAAAAGGAAATGCCTTCTGAATAATTAAGACATAGCAACCATGAGATACTGAAGAAGGACAGAAAGGTGTGGCAGGTGGGAACTGCCCTGCACGGTCTGCATGTCCAGGCTTTTAAGTGACAGAACCCAGAAATGGCACACAGGTTGACAGGGAGAAGCTGCAGGAGAGCCCCTGTTTGGATGCTGCCAAAAGGAGCACCCAAAGAGCCAGAGCCTGCACCTGGGGTGCTTCTGCGAGGGAGAAAAAGTCAGGGGCCACTGGATTCCCCCACATCTGTTTCCAAACACTGACCACAATAAACACCCAGCTCTGTCAAGCCACTAAGCCGGCCAGAGAATAAGAAGGAGAGAAGCACTTTCTACTTGGGAACGCAGGAAACCATATCAAGGTGGAGAGTGAGGAGCTCGCCTGTGATGTGGCTGGAGTTTCAAAAACCATATTTGCCTGTAATTCCCTTGTCCCTTTCATGTCGTGGCAAAGAGCTGGATCTTATTTCTTGTGGACAGCGAGGTTCTGATGGCAGGGGAGATTTGCTGGGCGGCGCCCGGGAGTTCCTCCAACGCTCCTCAGCTGCTATCAAAACACAGCCACGCTGGGACAATGGGGCGGATGAAGAGGAAGGTGGCCTTGCAGCCGCTGCTGCTCCCAGGATGATGCTGACACTGAGGACAGGGTGGGGAGGGGTGCCCAGGGCACATCCTCTCCAGCCTGCTATTAGTCCACACGACATTGCAGACCGATGAGCTCATGCAGGGTGAAAACAGAAATGTTTTTGAAAAAGCCAGTTTGGCAGCTTGAGAGTCGAGGCTGGCTTTCGGTGCAGGAAGAAACCAGAGGCTCTGTGGAGAGAAGAGCTCGCTCGCTCAGGAGGAAGCTATCCTCACCCGGAGTCAGATTCAGCCAACAAACCACTGGCCACTGGGAGGAAAGGAGGGAGGGAGGGAGGGAGGGAAGGAAGGAAGGAAGGAAGGAAGGAAGGAAGGAAGGAAGGAAGGAAGGAAGGAAGGAAGGGGGAAGGAAAGGGGCTCTGGTTTCTCTGCAGAGGTGCCCTCAGGGAAATGCACCCAAGAGTTCCTCTGCCTCCAACAAACAGATTCAGAGACAAAAGCAACTCTATGTCCTGGCTGACACCAGCCTTTAAACAGGTGCTTCTTGTTCTCAACATCAGAAAAGCTGGGTTTTTTTTTCCAAATCAAAGGCCCCAAAGAAAATTCCTCTCCTACAAACTGAGCCTCAAGGTTTAGAACAAGTTTTAAAAACAGGAGTCTGAGCATACAAAGGATGGATGTGTAGGTTGCAAGCCAGTGGCCCTGAAGTGTCCTCTTGTCACCCACCTCAACACAAAGAAAGTTCTGAGGATCCTGTTAAAGAACACATTTACAACATATGAAGGCCTTCCCAGCCCCGTCTCATGGGGCATTCCAACCTCATGGGCTGGGCAGCAGATGTCCCCATTTTACAGCTGAGGAACTAAGGTATCTAAAAATTAGTGGCCAGTGGGCATGAAGCTCGGTTTTTTAGAACCTGGGTCTTCACATAACACTATTACAACAATTAATATTATAACTATTATAACCACAGAAAGATCATGTAATTAGTGCTTGCTAAATGCCATGAACTCTGTTAAGGATTTTAAATGGGAACATTCTTACAATGCTTAGACATCATTATTAGTGAAATTTCACATGAAGAAATAAATCTCAGAGATGTTAAGAAACTTGTCCAAGGTCACATAGCTAGTAAGTGGCAGTGCTAAGATTTAAGCCCAGATCTTTCATTCTCTGAGGTTTCCTATAACCAGGCTATCCTGCCTTGACCACCACTCCACACAGGCTCACCCCTGCTCAATTCAGGAGTAATACAGAAATGATTTTAGTTTATTTTTTTCTATAAGTGATTCGATAAGTATAAGAGCACCCTCCCACAACCAGCACATTAAATCTGTAGTTACATGCATATTATTACAGCAACCACCTCTCATATCCATGGAGTACATATTTTAAGTCCCTTCGATACCTGAAACTGCAGAGAGTAACTAACCCCATAATACTATGATTTTCGTATACACACATATGCCTATGATACAGATGTAGTTTATAAATCAGCACAATGAGAAATTAACAATAATAACTAAAAGTAAAATAGAACAATTATAACAATACACTATAGTAAGTTATTTAAATCTTATAAATTGCTTCTTTTTTCTGGAATTTTCCACTTAATATTTTTGAGCCAGGATTGACCCTGGGTGAGTGAAGTCATGTAATGGGAAAGGTTAGAGAAAGGGGGACTACTGTATTCAGGATGAGGTTAGATTGAAGTTTAAAGGAAGTCAATGTGAAAAAGAAAAAATATTGAGTACATAAACATGTAGGTGGGACCAGGATACCACCCAGTCACAGTCCCCACGTGAAAATGCCCCAAGTCTACTCACGGCTAGGATGGCGCGGTCCCTCTCCATCAGGTCAGCCAGCTGGTGCAGCAGCCGGCCACGACTCAGGGCATCCAGGCGGCGCCACGGGGAGCCCCTCTGGAAGGCGGCTTGTGCGGCCTCCACGGCCCTGTCCACATCAGGCTGAGTGGCCAAAATGACAGAGTGTCATTTTTGATGCATCTACAGTTTGGGACCACTCTGCTGTCAGCGACAGAGAATAGCAGCGTGGAGCCACTGTAGCACCGAGGTGGGTCCAGCACAGAAGCTAAACTTAAGTCACCCGAATGTAGGAATGGGGGTGGGGATGGGGGTGGGATTGCACCAAGGATCTGTCTCCAAAGTTTGCATGGATGTGAGGGAGTGGGAAGGGGATGTTCTTCTCTTTTTCCTTTGCCTCTTAAGTCTTTTTCAAAATTTCTACCACGGCCAAGTATTAACCTCCTTTCTGATTCAAAGAGCATTTTAATAAAGTCACCAACCTTGACTCTTTTTCTTGGTGACTCAACTATGAAAAGATTTTCCACTGTGGCCCAAGAGGGCTGATGGTGGGGGGTGGATTTATGCTTCTGTAGATTGAAGAGCTGATCACATTTCAAGAGTCCGCAGTCATCTGAAGTCAGGCAGCGGCTGTGACAGCCATGAAGGCCTTCTGATTTCAGCCTCATTGTACCCCATGGGTACAGAACTGTTGCATCATTTTATAGACAAGGAGCTCTCTTTTGCACACTGAGAATAATTACAAAGGAACTATTCTTTGTTGCGGTGGTGGTGGTGGGAGGGGTTGGGGATTGAACCTGGAGCCTTTTGAGCACTAGGCAAGGGCTCTGCCATGGAGCCACACCTCCAGCCCTGAATCGCCTTCTTAAAACGGAAAAAAAAGCCGGAGTTATCTAGAAGAGCATCACCTAGCCTCATTTTCAGGAAAATGGGCCTCAAGGTTCTGGTTGCTGATGGCTAATGATCCACCCTGAAGGTCGCTCTGAGTCCCTACCCCTGGGGAGGTGCATCAGGCAGTGAACACAGGACATCAGTCAGATGGGGACTGCACCTAGGATCTGTCTCCAAAGTTTGCAAGGGGGTGAGCAAAAGCTTTGGCATGGGAGATACTGGGTCACTGTATTCCTTGTTTTGGGCTCTGGGGTGGAGGCCAGGACCTCTCCATCTGCAGGGGATGTGGGGGGGGGCAAGAGTCTCAGTTTCTTCCCTGATGCCCCTTTGGGACACTTGGGAATCATCAAGTGGGAATCCCATTTAACATCATGCCCTCCCTGCAGGGCTCCTGTGCTACTTTCTTAGAAAACAGAGCTTAAAATAAGAAGTCACATGGAGGGGTGTCTATGTGGGCGACCCACTGTGCATTGCATATGTATCACAAGACTTTCCCTGGTGGGAGAAAATCCAAGCCTACCTCACCTACACAACCAATACCCAACCATTTCAACATCACTAATACACCGATTAAGAATATCTATTCAACCAGGTGCAGTGGTTTAGGAAGCTGAGGCAGGAGGTTCTTGAGTTCAAAGCCAGCCTCAGTTTGGCAACTTAGTGAGACCCTGCCTCTGAATAAAATAAAATATAGGGCTGGGAATGTGGCTCAGTGGTTAAGTACCCATTGGTTCAATCCCTAATACCAAAAAAAAAAATGTATCCAAGCTGGGCATGATGGTGCCTACCTCTAATGCCAGTGCCAGCTACTCCAGAGGCTAGGTCGGGAGGATCATAAGTTCCAAGCTAGCCTTAGTAATTTAGCAACGCTGTGTCTCACAATAAAAAACAAAAAAGGGAAGGGGATATAGCTCAGTGATACATGGCCTTGGGTTCAATATCCAAGGGTGGGAGGAGAAGAAGAAGAATATAGGCAAAAGGACTGGTTGAACCCAGGAATTCAGGACCAGCCTGGATGATATAGTGAGACCCCCATCTCAAAAAAAAAAAAAAAGAGTGTCTGTTCAGTATTCTAGTGGTGGAAGAAGGGGTCATGTTTCCCTTTTTTCTGTACAAGACCTTTAATCTTTCAGTTCAAAATACACTTTATGGCCTTGAAATATTCGTTAGCTTCTATAGGATAACATAGACCCTGCCTAGCCAACAAGGTTACATAGACTTCAGCTTTACACAATCATGGAAGTTTCTAGTACAAAAGACATCTGATGGTTACATGATATTATTACTACCTCCACATCACTTGGATTGTAACTCTTTTTTCCTGCAAGTGTATTTTTTTTTAAGTGTCTCCTGCCAGAATGCTGCGTTTGGTGAAACACCCCAGCCGGAAATGCTTTCTGGAAAGAGTCTTTAATGACTCCAGGTTCAAATAATTGATAAAAACCTTTCCTTTAGCCACGTGATGAGGATAGCTGAGGTCATCCTCATAGATGGGGAAACATCTATCAAAGGAGAGTGACTCTTTGCAAAGACTGTCTGTAATTGATCCCATTCAAGAACATGTGTCTGAGTTGCACATACCAACGGGCCAGTGCGATTACCCAGGCCCTACCCCCAGGGTGGGCCCAATCTGTTTTACAACTAAACCACACGGCTTCCTTATCCTTCATTTATCTATAATTGAATTACTGAGGAGTGGGGGTGGGGGGGACCTACCTTATCTCCTTCTTCTACTTCACATATTTTCTCTAGAGTTGAAGGGTTATATGTGGCAAATTTTTTCCCACTCTTGGATTCATGCCAGTCATTGTTGATAAATATCTAACCAGGAAAGGAAGTGTAACGAATTAGGTTTAAATCAAAATCATATAATTTCAACATGCTAAGGACCTTAGGTAACGTCTTATCCACCCTCTCTCCCACCTCCCCGTGGATGTGTTACAGATGAGACCCGGAGAAGACAGAACATGAGACCCGGAGAAGACAGAACATCCCGTCACATGACCAAGTCACCAACTTGGAGCAAATTCAGAATTAGAACCCAAGTTGTCACAGTAGAACTAAAATGGATTGGAGTTTTTCTAAATTATTGTTTTTATAACAATAACCTGGATTCACAAAGGAAAAAGCTGGGTTAAATTGTTAAATAGAGGGGGTAGATTGAATCCTACACCCTCATAGACTTTGGGGAAAGATGAAGCAGGTTTGGGTATAGAAAGTGGCGAGCAATCTGCCTGCCCCCAAAGAGTGTATAAGCAGTGAGTGTCCCTGTCCTTCTTCCTTCTGCAATCCCAGCAGGACTGACAGGACCTTGACTTATAGGAGGATCGTGCCATAATCTTCTAGTCTTCATAAACGCACATCAGCACATCCTTCCCTCGCATACCCCTTTTAAAGGTCTATTTTCCTGTTGGGCTTGGTAAAAACCAGTGTTGGAATACAAAAAGTTAAAAATCTGGGATAGAAAATTTTCAGGTTATATTAAGTCATGTAGCAAAACACTGTTGATATCCAGAACCCAAGAAATTATGCACAAAAATCACTTCACTGAAAGCCTCAATTATCCAAAACTACAGCTAAAAAATAAGAATGAAAAAAAAAGAAAGACATCATGAGCAAACTAAAAAGAATTTGCAAAGCCTATGCATGCACTGAGATGTATGTACTATTTACTCTTAGTTTCCTCTAAGTTTTGACCACATTAAAAGAAAGGGCTTTTGGGAAAGAATTAGGAACAGAGATGATGGATAATGTACTAAGCACCTTCTGACAGCACTGAGGTCCTGGCTGCCCTGAGAGAGGACAGATAAGGTCCTGCTGCATCTCTGGGAGGGCCTTGTCAGCACAGCCTGTCACGGGGAAAGACCCCAGTCGCAGAAATCACACACAATGCCTTCCATCATTCCTAAGGACAGAACTAGTGCATTGGGATTTCATTCTTGTATCTAGATGATATCATACACATATATTTGTATTCTGCTTCTCTTTGAGTTGTTTAAAATTAGAGTTGTATCACTATGGGGCCGATTTCAATGACTGTGAATTTGATTCATTGGGAACACTTGACTCTCCAATGACGACAGACGAGAGAAGGGAGCCATCTCCTCCAGTGTGCGGCTTGGTTACTTCTCTGGAGTAGGCCCTGTCGTATCAACTCCGCTGCTCATCGGGAAGGGAACCCAGGCTGCCTCTGGTGGGGACCATGAGCAGAAGAGAGGCTCTGCCTGGCAGGTGGGCAGAGACTACCTGYCCTCTCTTTTGGAGTCCAGAGCTGAGAGCATCTGGTTCCAGAGGAACTCGCCCATTCGACTTCTAGAAGCTCAGCGCCTTCCCTGTGAGGCCAGGCCCCCAGGGAAGCATGTGAGGAAAAGGCCAGGCTTCAATTACAGGTTTATTCTTCCAGCTGAAACCAAATCCAAGAGTCCACTTTTGCCATGCAGCAAGTAATCAGTCGGTAACAGTGAGAAATTAATAAGCGGAGAAGAGGAGTTAGGTTAGTGTGGGGAGGAGAGTATGGCCGGGAAGAGAGGCCCATTTATAGCAAGATAAAATTTCGTGGGTTAGATAATAGAGACGGTCAGCGAAAATTGCTGATTCTAGGCCTTCCTGGTATCAATTCCAAGGGGGAGGGAAAGTGAGAAGGTGGCAAGAAAGAATATAAATAGGGGGGATGGAAACAGATTGCAACGATCGGATGTCTGCTATACCTCATCTCCAAGCATGCGCCTCCAAAAAAAAAAAAAAAAATTCTTTTTTAACTTGGTTGCTTGTGACATTGATCCATAGTCTTTGCTAACCGACAACTTAAAAAAGAAAATTCAAACCGCTTGACTCTAACCATATCTCTTCATCACAATGTTTTTAATTTAGCAAAGTTATTTTCTTTATCCTACCCTACGAAGCAATCTTGTAAGTGGTTTCTACTGTTGGTTTTTCTCTCCACTAAAACAAAACAAAAACGCAAATAAGGAAAGGGCCCATGAATGTAGTCTACTGACAACGCTGGCCGTATTGTTTTGAACCCCAAATCAGGATAAAGGGTCTGGAAGGGGATTGTTTTTCTTGATTTGTGAACTGGTGTGAAATAAACTTTATCGGGTATAAAATTAAGCAACGTTGAATTGTAGACAGAATTCATATTTTACGGAAGGATCAGCACAAAGCTGGAAGGTGCCCTGAACAGAGGTCGAGATGGTGGTCACACAAGTGAATCCTACTGGCATCATTTTCAGTAATTTCCACTGGGTGTCAGGACACTCAGATAAGCTCAAAAGGAATATGTTTTTCAGGAGATTTGGGGGAATTTTATTTTCCATAAAAGAGATAATATAAACTGTCATTTGAACGAAGCACAAAACTTTAAAAGAGAATCTCTGATGTTGGAGGAAACTTTATAAAGCAAGAGTCTCGTAAAATGAAAGGGGCTGGTATCCTCTGAGGTCTGTGGAGGTCTCTAGAGGGACCTTACCTTCCCCTCACCAAAATCACATTGCATGACCCTACTCTCAATGTTAAAATCTGAGAACAAGTGAAAGGCTTTGACAAAGGCCTCCTTCTGGAAACTGGTTCACCTTGGAAATCACACCATCAAGGCCAGGGCTCAAACTGATCCTCCAAGAGCGAGACGCACCAGTTTTGAAAAATAGCAGACCATTGCGGGCTCACATGTTCCACCCAGCCAACTGTCTGCCCTGGACCTCCATGCTGGACTTCAGCCTCTCTTCCTCCTCCTCTCTACTTATTCCCTGGGCAGGCAGCCCCACTGTCTCTCAGCCTGAGTCTTCCTGACCAAGGAAGGAGTGCTCACCCACAGCCACTCAGGCTGCTAAGGAGAAGCCTCTATGGACAAGAGCAGAGAAAATTAAGCTAGTGGCAGGGACAGAGCAGACAGCAACATTGTCCCCCATGAGTGTGAAAGGTACACATGGCGTCAGGCAGTTGAAGCCCTCTAAGACTCCCAGCTCAATTCCTGCATATCACTACCTTTCCTTCGTATAAGGTAAATCATACATCTTCTTTTTAATGGGCAAAGGGGACACCGACTAGGACAACAGTCACTCATTGCTCTGTGAAACTCCTAAATTCCTCCTCCAAAAGGGCTACATTTACACACCGAAATGATCCTAAGGAATCACAGAGAAAAGGGGAAACTTTTCATGTGTGGCTAGATTACTCGGACAAGACTAATAAGGTACAAAGCTAAAGGACGGTCATACCTTCACTTTCTGTTTCTATAGTTTTACAAAACTCTTTAAAAAGCAAAACGCCACCACCCAAAAATGACAGCAGCCAAACACGGCAGAGTTAGGGTCTGAAAAAATGAAGGCACTATTCTAACTGTTCCCAGAATTTGGGTTGGAATTTTCCCTTCGAGGCTGATACTATTAAGGAAACTACATTAAAAACAATTTTCAGTCTTTGCTGTAGATTACAGAGCCGTCTGAAAACAGTCAATCTAAATGTCAAGTAATTTAAATGTCTACACAGCCCACTTTGGGAATTAAGTGCCAAGAGACCAAAACCTGAAGGCCACACATAATGGCCTGCCACTTTCTTTGCTTGATTAAAATTATTTGAGAGAGATAATTGCTACTTTTGAAAGTAAAATCGATRAGGGAATTTTCTAAGCATTGTGTTAGCTGGAATTGGTAACTACGGACAAGAGGAGACAAAACTGGGAGAAGTAAAGCCATAGGTGCCTTGGGCCTGAGCCCCTGAAGCGCCCCCTCCCAGTCAGATCAGAGGAAAGAATCCCAGACAGCCCTGGGGTTGTCCTCTCTCAGGACAGGCTGCTGTCTGCTGCTCCCTAGTTCTCCTTGGCCCCTGCTCCCAGCATCGCCATGTTCCTCTGCCCCAGGCAGGTGATCTCACTGCTTTGCCAGAGTTCCAGAGTCCTAGGAAACAGGGTAAAGAAGCAGAGAGCCCAGCACCGCAGGGTTGTGACAGAGCCTGGGAGCTTAGACCTTGCCACACACAGCATCCCCAGACCCAGATCTGGAACTCTGGGGAACATGTTCTTGGTCTGTAAATACCAGGACAGTTTCATCAGTGAACTCCTTTCTTCTTTCCCAAGTTCGGCTGGTAAGCGGGATACAGCTAAGCATAGAAGTTGCCATTGCTCTCTCATTGCTCCTGAGGTTCTGCTGCCTAGTTTAGGCTTCCCATGTGGTCCTTCCTCTCAGACTCCTGGGAATTCCCAGGCACCTCAGACCCTCCCAAAGCCCAACTCTTTCAACCCAGGAAGCCATCCTCAGGGTTTGCAAAGAAACTACAGTGCGGCGAGTCACCTCAGGGCTCACCTCCACTCGCTTTCAAAGAGGGCCCTTCAAGGGCACGTCGGGGCTGCCCTGGGTTACAACCCTGCACTGTCTTCTCACCCTGCTTTAAGGCTTAGAGCCCCGAGCCCCGAGCCCCGAGCCCCGAGCCCCGCCGCCTTCGAGCCTGCCTGGGGAGCGGGTTTCCACCCGGGATGCCCCCTGAAGGGTGCGGTTTCGGGAGGCGCTGGCCCAGGCAAAGAATCTTGGTTCTAGGAAGAGTCCAGAGAACCTCCCGCCTGCTGACTCCTCGCCCCGCGCCCCCGGCCCAGCTCAGCCCGGAGTCGACAGCCGTCGGGTGGGAGGCGCCTCCACCTCACCTTGGTGAACTTGACCTCCAAGTTGTGGATGGGGCGCGGCAGGGCAGGCGGCTTTCTGTCCAGCTGCCCGTTCTCCAAGGCCCCGTTGGTGGTGGCCATGGCTCCTCCGCGCTCGGCGGCCCGAGGCGCCTGAGTCTGCGGCGTGCCGGCTCAGCTTGGGCGGTGCGCAGCCTGCTCGTGGGGTGACAGCTCCGCGCTGCTTTATGGAGCGCCCCACGCCTCCCGCCCGAGGGGGCCGTCTAATTGGCTGCAGGACCGTAGGACCGGAGGGCGGGCGGGCGGGCGTGCGGAAGGGAGGGGAGGGGGCCGGCCCGCCTCACCCCACCCCGCCCGCCGCCCCGGAGGGAGCCCGGCCATCCCCCGCCCGGCCCGGTGTCGGCTCCGCGGCCCGCGTGCGGAGCGCTCGGGCGGCTGCGCCTCGCGTTCTCGCCGGGTTGTTGCCCTTGGACAATCTTTGCGAAGCGCCGCCGGGCTCCGGAAGTCCCAGAGCTGGGACACCGAGCCGGGGCAGGGATCTGGGTGCAGGGACCACAGCAGCTCTCAGCTGTCTTCCCGCAGCCGGGCGGGTTTGCACCTGCCGCGCCCCCTGCCCCCTGCGGATCCGCACTTTCCCAACTTTGGCCCTCGCGCGCAGCGGAGGTCGGTAGCTGTGGGTTCTGGTAGCGCCAGAGAGAATGGGCGTCTGGCGGGGCACCCCCAGCGTCGCTGCCTAGGAGCCTACGCTTTGGGTCCAGCTGCCAGGCCAGCGCTGGCAAGACTGATGCCTGCTGCACTCCAGCCCTCCAGAGCCAGGACGCCGGTGTCCACCCTGGGCCGGCTGGCCCGGAATTTCCCAGCGGCCTTGAGGCATCACAAACCAAGCAAAGAAGGAGAAAGAGAAGTATGAGGCCCTTTCTGCATATGCGCTGAGCTTTGGAGTTCTGGTGCCTGCTGGGCCTCTTACTTTCGCAGGCGCATACCACCATCCAGTCCAGCCCCTGGGATGAAATTATTTTGATTTTTAAAATGCATAAATTTTACCTCGATTAAAATGATTTAAATTTAAAAATGATTAAAATAAAAAGCACATTCGATCTTTGCAGCTAATTGTTTTCAGAGTTGAAGCTTTTGCTCATAACTGCCAGGGAGAGCGAGCCACATCCAACTTTTTATTTTGCCATTTTGGAAACGCACCACCAAACCTAAGGACTTGCCCCAGGTCCCATGTGAGACATGGAAATGGCTTCTCATGCCTGCCATTCCTCAGGTGGCTGGAACAATGATTCAAGGTATGAATTCCCCATAAAATCAGTGATTTTGTAGGCTCAGCCCCTTCAGTCCATCTCCCTGTGTTAGTAATCTCAAGCGATTGACAGTTGTGTGGTAGGGCTCTCCTATTTTCCTGAGGCTTCTTCTGTTTTTCAGTGTCCTCAGTGTCCATCTGTCCCCTTCCTGGCTGCAGTATCATTGGGTGTCTTCTGGATAGCGGGATAAGTTTTTAAGCTTTTGGAAAGTCACCATCTGACCACCGGCCACCTGACGGTAGAAAGGGATTGAGCAATTATAGGTTGAAATATGCAGGTTGAGGCTGGCAAAGGGGGATAATGGGACTGCTGAGTGGGCCACGGCAGACCAATATCTGTGAATCTGGCTTTGATGTTAGGCACACTAACACTAGTGAATCCTAGAGGGAAGCCACCTCTTTTCACAGGTACTCTTGCCAATTCTTGAGCTCCCTGACCTCCTGACTGGCCCTGTGGCTCCCACTTAGGTCTCCTGAAAACTCTGGGCAGATGTCTTGCACCAGCACATCTGACTGGATGCTGAACTCCAGCATCTGAGGACCTGTAGGAGCTATTGATAGACCCTCCCTGCACAATGGTCAGGGACTCTAGGCGGGTGGGTGAACTAAGCTTCAGGGGGTGGCACCTAGAGAAATTTTGAAACTGAATTCCCATTCCAGGAGTGTATCTGGGATCTTTGATGTATTGCACTTGTCCAGGGCTTAACAATAACAAGAACAACAAATCAGAAAATTTATTGAGGAATTGTGCTCATTAATTGCTGGATAAATGGTGGGGGGAGGGCAGATGGGATTGGGACTTTGAACTCTGCTCCTTTAGTGTTAAGAGCTTGTTTGCTCAAAGCTGCCACTTTATCAGCTGTGATGTCAAGAATAGAAACCACCTCAGCTCACACCCAGAGCCACCCTCGTGACCTGAGGCATCTAGCCTTGGGAGCCAATTGCAATGGCATCCATTGGCTCACCTGCAGCTCCCCATGTGATACTAGGAGCTTGAGATCAGAGCAAACACTTAGCAGACAGCCCTGAGAGGGCAGGTCAGTGGGGTGGGACTGTCTCTAGGCTTGTCTAGACCAGTAGGCTTTACCTCTGCTCCCCTCAGCTTGCCTCTCAGTAGCAGGCATGAAGGTAAATGCTCTTCTTCCCATTTTACAGATGAGTAAACCGAGGCATGTGGATACTTGCTCCAGACAATACTGTCATGGAAGAGCCAAGAGTAGACTGTGGGGGGGGGAGGGGGCAGGATGTGAAGGAAGGGTTTCTCTTACTTTCCTCTGTCCCATTCATTCATCCTTAGGCTTCAGGTGCCTCCATGTCACTGAGGCCACATAAGACATAGTGAAGGTACAAAGTTGCTTTACAGGTGCAAAAGCAGTGGCAGCATCCCTCCTGGTTGTGTCTGTCCTAGAAATCAAATCCTATGGTCTTGGCCTCAAAAGTGGTGACCACATAAGGTTGGAGGAGGAGGGAGGACTTGCGTCTGCTTGCAGAGGAGTTGCCTGAGGCTTGAGGTGGTGGATGAAGCCCCTTCTGACCACATCCCTGTCCTGATTCTAGCTGTGTGCCTCTGGTTTGGACGTCGGGTTTCTCTGAAGTTTGGATTCCTTTTCTGTGATCTCCTTCCCACTTCACAGCATTTGGGGAGGTTCAAGCAAGATAACACGGTGAAAGAGGGCTTTATAAACTCTAAAGTGCTATGTGTTTGCCAGGTCTCAGTTTTCCTATTCTTGGGGACTGGTTCCTCCCAGCAAGCTTTTATTCTTAGAAATCAGCCAGCTACCCTCACTTCTCTTTGACTTGCATGAACTTCCCCAGCCAAGGACTGGGGGAAAATATTTTTATTTTTGCCTTCAGCTCTGCATAGCTGCTTCTGTCTGCTGCTTGGCTTCTTGGCATGTCAAGGGATCTAAGTCTAAGACATTGCACATGGAAGGGTCTGGTCTGTTTGATACACACTTAATAAGAGTCAGCAGGAGGGCTGGAGGCTCATGGTAGAGTGCTTGCTTAGCTTGCAGGAGGCCTTGGGGTTGATCCCCAGCACTGTAAACAAATAAGTAAATTTAAAGAGCATGCAAAGCTACAGAAGAGAAGTCAGATAACCTTCCTCACAGTTCAACAATCTTTAGACCATAAGCATTTTTGAGATATGTTAAGGTATGCAGCAAATGTAATTCATAGGAATGATGAGGACAGCATTGGAGCCCACTCCTTATTCTACTTTATTTCAAATCTGATGTTTGACTGTTGCTGAAGGATACCCAGGATGCCCAGCATCCCAGAGCTACCTTTTCCCACTGAGGTCAAACACTTCATTCAGTGACTAGGAGTCAAGGTCAGGTCTTGGGACCTGTAATATGCACTCTGAACTCTTTCCTGGCTCCTGGGTTAAGGGTGATTTGTTGATATAGGGACACCACTTATAGCTCTGAAGTGGCCTGTGGTGACTTGAGGGAGGTGAACTAACCTCAGTTTTCTTGAGATGACATGTGCCMTTGAGGGAAGATCAACTTCATTGTGAGCACCTCCCTGCTGCTATCAATGAGGGTAGGTTCCACATTTAGTGTGAATGTCCAACATTGCCTAAATTGGACTTGAATGAGCAATTACTTACTGTTCAAACTCATGATAAATCAGGATCCACAAACTTCCCCCACCGTGTTATAACACCATTCTGTCCTCAGAGAACATGCAAACAATCTGTTTTCCTGCTGAGTTTTTATCCGTATGTTAGTCAGTTTTCTATTACGGTAACAAAACACCTGAGATAACCAACTTAAAAGGAAGAAAGATTTATTTTGGCTCATGGTTTCAGAGGTTTCGGTTCATAGTCACTTGGCCATGTTGCTTTGGGCCTGTGATGACTCAGGATATCATGGCAGAGGTGTGCAGCAGAGGAAGCCTGTTCACCTTATGGTGGCTGGGAAAAGAAAGAAAAAGGAAGACAGAAAGGAGTCAGGGTCCCATTATCTCCTTCAAAAGCACACCCACCCGCAGTGACCTAACTTCCTCCCACCAAAGGTTCCACTACCTCCCGATAGCCCAACAACCAAGGACCTAGCCATTAATCTGTGGGTCTTCAGGGGACATTTAAGATCCAAACTCTAGCAATCAGTGGTCATACCAGAGGAAGGAACAAGGGCTTCCCCACTGCCCTTTCAGCTGCTTTCTCTTCAGCCCTGTGGCTCCCTTCTGGCCCAAGGGAAAATCTTGCACGTATGTATTAATCGGAGGTAAATTAGACTTAGACTAGAAAAAAAGCCAACAGAGAACTAATTATACAGAAACAAAGAGAATACATCATAATATTTGTGGGCCTGACCTCACACACACAGAGCCTGGCAGTTCATGGCTTCTCCAACTTTCCCCTAGGTCTACCTTCCAGTGGTTGAGAGTTGTGACAAGGGCAGGAAAGTGCATTGTGGGTAAGGGTGATGGATGCTTGGCCACCCATTTTTTTTTCTTCTTTCTTTGCAGAGGAATCCTAATTGCTGAGGTCTAGCAATGAACATTATTTACCAGCCTCTTTTGCAGAAAGGTGATGAAAGAAACATAAGCTAAAGTCTTGGCTTGGTTTTCCATGGGCAGTGTCAGCTGGTGGACTCTTTTTCATTTCTGCTGCACGGAACAGACAAGAGAGCTGGGGCTCCAGCAGCTATCTTGTGATGAGAAAGTGATTCTGAAATGCAATCAGAAGTCAGAGCAGATACATAGGGAAGAGCCTAGGTCCCTGATGACTCTGGGATCAGCCCTTTAGCCTTGGAATTCCTTCCCTGGATTTCTTTCACATGAACAAAAGGTAAATTCCTGTTTTATTAAAGCCTGCTATTTGGATTTTCTGTTATATATGAGAGAACTTAATCCTGAGCAATGGAGCTGGAATTTTGGTGATCCCACAATATCCACCCC